TTAGTGGTTTGTACTAGAAAAAGATGTACTCTAGTTTCGTGAATTATACTGCTTGTGGGCTTGTTCTTGGTTTATGTCTGTGTATGCCTGTATGTGTGCATGTGTGTGTGTGTACATGTCTGTCTGGATGGGTGTGCTTCTGGTGGAAGTAGCACATGCCTGAGGCTATGCTTCTCATCTAGAACAAGACAAGAAATATGTGGCATAGAAGAGGGAACGCCCTCAAAAGCCCATATGCAGGAAGGGAGGACTGAGGTTTGGACATTGCTGAACGGAGGCAACAGCAGTAGCAGTAACACATAAGTCTAGGCTAGGCTGGGCAGGTGGAACAGGGTGCGAGGTGTCTTAGCTGCGAAGTCAGGAGTGAAATTGCCCGCGTCAGCTAGTGAAGCAGAATGCTTGGAAGGCACTTGTTCCTGACCAAATTGGCCAGCTGGCTGGCTGGCTGGTTAGCTGAACGGGTCTTAGCAGAGAAGCAGCAGCAGCGGCAGAGCCACGACGAGTCATTAGGGTCCAGAAACAACGGGAATGAAACCGAACGAGCCTAGCAGTAGCACTGGCCAATGCTAGTGAACGAACTCTTAGAGAGGACAAGCGATGCGCGCGCATAAGCGATATTCTGTCTCAACGCTCTGGCCACTTCAGTTCCTCCCGAATTTTTGCGGAAACGGACGAGGCTCTGTGAGCTTATATAGGCTTTTGTTGGCCATGCATTTCTGCTGCTACTGCTACTGCTACTCCTCTCCGTTTCTTCCGGCTGCCATGATATGTCGTCTTTATAAATGGCCAGGCTCCGGCGCGAGCTTAGGCTTGTGTTTCGGGGCTCAATTTTAGAGCGACGACGAGGCATCGATGCTTAATCGGTGAGCAGTGTTACAGAGCAGTGGCAGTGCCAGTACCTATTTTGACTTTACAAACAGTCAAAAAAAAAAAAAAAAATGCCTGGCAGTTTCTAGAGAAGGGAAGAACATTTGGCCAAGCCCAAAAGAGTGCAACAACAATGCAGCGAGAGCGCATCGTGTGTTCTTTTAGCAACAATGAATAATATTTGCATTTGACGTTGGTGGAGAAGCAATGTCTCTCTGTAATGTGTTTGTGTGTGTTTGCTCAAGTGTGTAAGTGCGAAGCAACCAGACCTTTTTTTCCCC